AATATTGCGCGGTCCTTCCATTGCCTCAGTAAATGCTGAATCTTTTCCCATTATGGCTAATATTCAAACCTTAGATGGCACAAATGAAATTCGAGAATTATTTGCTGTTACCACTACTGATAATCTGGATATAGAAAAATTATCTGATAAAATTGATTCGTTAAAATCTTTCAAATTCAGCTGATTTAGGTTATTTTACTGATCAAAATATGACAGATGATATAAGATTCTCTCCAGAATTTTGTTTAGGGTTCTCCTTTCATAGGGGCCCCGTGAGATTTTTTGTTTACGGGCCCGAGAGTGTCTTGCTACGCCACTGACGAGAGGCTTAAAAAGTGATAAGCCTTTTGGGATTATCGCGCTTGGTTGTAATAAAGTTTAGTTCGTTGTATAACCTTTTGAATACCACTCGATGTTTTAGGATTACCCAATACTTTTACCTGACACTCAACGCGTTACCAGCAACACCACTCCTCCTTCGGAGTCGTGGTGTTCCTGCGTAACGCGTTTCGTGACAGGTAAAAGTATTATCCGGTGTATTATAGTAGTGCCTGTGCCGAATTTAGGGATGGCTGCCTAATACTGGAACTGATCCCGCGGAACTGATCCAAACTGATCCACTGCAAAATAAACAGGTCCAAGTGCGAGTTCGAGTACGGACCACTTTTGCGCTATTTACGTTGTATGGACTCGGACTCGGACTCGGATTCGGACTTGGACTTGGACTCGGACTCAGACTCGGCCTCAGAAGCGGACTAATTGGATCGCGCCGCGCCGGCGCCGGAACAGGGAAAAGTGCGGACTCGGGCTAGAGAGACGGAGTCAGAGACGGCGAGTACGGAGTACACTACATTGATAGACTCGTTTCGGTCAACAGTTCGGGATTGTCAGGATCACGCCGCACCCGCTGGAACGGAGAGAGTACCTGGCGATAGGATATACATGGAACGGAACAGAGCAAACTTATCTAGGTGCTATGATGCTAGATGTTGTTTAGAAAATTTAGCAACCCTCTTGCTATTTTCGCCAAAATGGGAAAAACCAGTATTTCACTTCGGTTCATCGATTCTTGGTTCGACTCGGCCGGATTCGAACTTGGAACTGATCCATGGAACAGGTATCTGTTTGGATCGGATCAGTTCGGAACTGATCCGTAAAACTTGTTGGATCAGCTATCCTTAACCGAACTACTCTGTTCGGCTACTGAACTCACTGCCAGTTTTGGTTCAATCATCGGTTCCATACACCACCGGATTGCTATCCTTGCTCTCTACTTTATAATGACACTTGACGCTTAAGTCATGTCACTCTTGATTTGCATCTCAGCTGACTTTTGAAGTGTCCTTAATTTTTGTCGATTCGCTTTCGATTAGTAATGTTTTTAGAATCGTCGATTCCTGGTAAGCGCTTGCGTTTTGCAGCACGGATCGCTTACTCCATGTCGTATTCTTCAAACTATGATTGTTTTATTCGATAATTCCTTGTTTTTATTATCATTAGTCGTCAGCTGTTGTAATTTTTCTCTGATTATATTGTTGTGTGCAATTTTTGGTAAGTAGGAATTCTATCGATTAATTTTTGACGTTTGTCGTTATTCTGAATCCCTACCTTTGGGTCAGCTAATTAATTTTATGTGTTGCACATTTCTTTTCACATCTGGACGTTGGAGAAATAAGGTCTTTTTTGAAAAATTGAATTTTGTCTTCGCCCTTGTGGGATTTCGACCTTATATGCTCAATTATTGAATTTATAACACATTTAGTTGCCCTACGTTTTCGTAGAGTGTTATTATTTTCGCCGATTAATTCGGATGTTTACAACATCCATGTGGTAAATTGCTTTGCACGTTTTTTTCCCCACAGTGGATTCTTACTTTTTCTATTCAATCATTAGTGGAAAGCTGCCCTGAAGAGTAGAGTGAAGACGATCTCACTCACCTCAGGATATCGAATCCAGATTTCCAGAGTATTTTCGTGGCAAACAAAGCTCTATTTCCAACAGGTAATAACCTCAAATTTTCTTTGCAAACTCGAGGCACATTTTCTTTACTATTAAAGCTTTATGATGTAACCAGAACTATTTATAAGTAAGTTGACAAAAATAACCAACCACCTTAATCAGGTTATGTCTAGCTAAATTACCTATAATAATAATTTTGCCACATTGGTAGAAGCACTGAATTACTCCCTGGAATACCTTAGTGATCACTTTGGCGCACAAAATAGGGACAGAATATAAATAAACAATAGAGAGTTATTGGATGTGCATTAAGGACAAACAGTATTTAAATTAGCCTTATTTTGACATCTACGCATGCGTATTTTGGTCTGAAAATAAGGTTTCCCTTAATAAGGTTAATGCTTGTCTTTATTTGTGTATGATTAGTGCGAGGCAGTAAACTTCCCTTATTTCAATATTTCTGACATTTTTGACTACTTTGACGTTTCACTTTTCGACGATGACGTAATTTTACTTAGAGAATTTGTTTTTTACAATAGTGTTTCATTTTACTGTAGGAAACATCAAAAAATGGGTATCAGCAAAAAATCAAAAACAAAAATAAAAAGTTTTTGAGGTTGAAATTTCTAAACATAGCTATCAACTGTCAAAATAAAAAAAATACAAAATAAAGTAATACTCGTAACACCTACTACAGTCTTCCAATAACTATTATTTTCTTGGAAAAATAGTGGTGACGCACTAATAAAAAAGCGTAGTTCCTTAATACTGCGAGGCAGTATTTAATAGTTCCAATAACTCTCTAAAAAAATATAAATAGGATAATTAAAGCTAGTACGATACCAAAATGTTCCAGATGGTAGCACTAGATACAATCAACCAGATTAGTCCTGGCTACTGGTTGTGGTAAGATGGTCAAACCAATCTTACGGTTCAAATTTACAGTCCGGAAGCATTTTTCCGTTTCCTATTTGGTTACCGCTACATGGAGCGCTAATCCTTTAGGACTTGTAAAATTATATCTGGCATTGCGTTTCCTATTAGGCCAGCGCACATTGACTACCGCTACATTGTGCGCTACTCCTATAGGACTAGGACTTGTCAAATTATATCCGACTTCGCGTTCCCTATTAGACCAGCGCACGTAAATTAAATAACTACGCTCATATTGCCAGCCATGCTACATGACTTTCGACATTGGGTTGGTTTTTAATAATAATTAATAAAACAACTTGCAGAGTTTAACTTTTTTGTAGCAGTAAAATTCTTTCCAGCAGCAATAAAAACTTATGAATAACTTTTCCATATAGTTGCAGGCAAGCACTTTGCCGCGGTAGAAATAGTTATTTATTATACAAGGGAAAAAAGTACTAGATTTTAGCGCGAGGTGTGGTTTGCACACCTCGCGCACACAGCGAGCGCTAAAATCTTACTTTTTTCCCATGTATAATACACTATTTTTTTCTGTAACGGGAAAATCTCAACATTTTCCATCTATACATTATTCCCTTTGAGAAAAAAATTTGACTGGTACCTGTTACTTTTTTCCCTTGGGAAATAAATTGACTGGTACCTGTTACTTTTTTCACGTGGGAAAAAAAAATCACTTTTTTCCCATGGGAGAAAAGGTGACATTTTTGCCCCTGTCAACAAGTACAAAAAGTCTATTTTTTTCCCGTCACAGAAAAAATATACTTATTAATAATAATAAGGGTTTCTAATGTAACAGAAAAAAAATATTAGTGGCAGGTAGTGGTACTTTTTGCTAACTTAAGTGCGTTCTACTACTAGAATAGGATCGTTTCTCAATTACAGCTAAAATGTCTGCTATGATAGCCGACAATCCATTAGTAAAGAATTTTTGGCATTGGTGTAGAATCAACAGAAATAATAAAACGAGACCCAACGAGAAATATTACAAAATTATTGCACCACCTGTAATCACCAATTAACCTCAAAAAATGACAACGATAATGCAATGCAATGGATATCTGCAGACGATAGTAGAGGGTGTGCGCTGGTCTAATAGAAAACGCGACGTCAGATACAATTTAACAAATCCTATATGATTTGCGCTCCATTGTAGCGGTAGAGAATGTGCGCTGGCCTAATAGGAAACGCGATGCCAGATATAATTTTACAAGTCCTAAAGGATTAGCGCTCCATGTAGCGGTAACCAAATAGGAAACGGAAAAATGCAGTCCGGAAGGCTTGTAACCGTCCAACTAGAAGGCTTAGGCTGGGGTGTGATAGCCTTAGTGACAATCTCAGTTACATGTTGGTTTACTTAGATTTCATATCAAGAAGGATTAAGTATTTTGTTGTATTAAAATCAACTACGCCACTGTAATATAAAGAGAACATCCTTCTGAGCGGCCAATTTTGAAAATTATGTAATTAGAAAGAGTATAAATGTATGTAAATTGATAACGTACAATTAGCGTTCGATAAAAATAGAAAACAAGCGTCAATTTTGTCGTTGTAATTGTTACAAGTGCAAATTTTATTTTCTTGAGATAGGAAACGAATTCACGAATCGACGAGCACTTTTTTTGTTTAAATTTGAAAAAAACAAGAGGGGAAATGCAACAAAATTGTTCTCATGGTACACTTAACAACAGTGTAAGGCAACAGTTATTAAATTATGCAAAAACATTTAAATACAACGGCGCATAGGCACGAACATTTTGCTCCGATACAAGGCACCATAAAGGCAGATTCTTCGATATCGATAAGGCCGGAGCTTATTAAGAAATTTATTAATAATGCAAGAAGTCGTGTATACAAATGGCTTTTTAAACTCGATGTAATATCGAAAAAAAAAAAAATGAAAGGGGAATAAAATAGTTTGGCGCTAACGGATTCGTAATTACGCTATTAAATGAGGTGTATAGAGGTGTAAAGCCTTTTTCTATTAAAAAATAATTTTCGAATTGATAGTGCTTCATTATAAAGTATAAAATTGCGTGATAGAAAGATTAATGAAAAAAAGCCGCGCTTTTAAATATTCATGGGATTAAAGTTTTATGCATTGTTTATAGCTGGAACCAAAGAAATGTCAAGAATGGTACGTGACTGCTAGTAGAGGAGATTGTCAAGAGTTGCTCAGGCTAGCCAGAGATGAACCGAGATTAGTCAATAGAAAGGTAAGTTCTTTTACATTTTATATTGCATTTTAATTTTCGACAAGAAAATATATAGAACATCATTCCCAGCACCTTTGACACCATTTTATAAAATGATCCAATGTTTTGTGCCTGAATTGGTTTTAAACAAAAAAACGGATATCGTTAAATTACCCTTCTGTAGAAAGTCCCAATAGACTGTCACGATTCGATAACTTTTTGACGATTTTTACAACGCAACTTACTCACTTTATCTTTTTCCATGATACATTGTTACATACATTATTTATTGCTGAAGTGCCCATGCAGAGTTTTTTCTTTTATTTATGAACGTTGCAAAATGTATAAAACACTATTGTTCCTCTTACGTACTCGCATGACATTTTAGAAGTAGGTACACACTAATAATAAATTACCAGAACCATCCAGTTACAAAATAACTTTGGCTGGTTGGGTGGCAAACGTAAAACATTGTCCTACCCCTTAAAAAGGCAAAAATCGAAAACGACGTTATAAGAGTTTTGGGTTATGCCTAATTAAGTACATGTGTTCCATCTTGGGTTACACCCGTCATTAGTGGAGCAAGATGTATGGCCATGTTTGAAAGTGTTGAAGAAATTCGTTTTATTAATTATTACATATGTAACTTTTTCTGACGTTTATGTGCGTGTGGGAAGGCCGAGGCTGTTCGGTCCCCAATTAACAGATTTCGAATATATATATTTTTTTCGTCCTTATAATGTTCACCCAAGATACTTTTGGTGAAGATCATCTATGGAACATTTTTAGTAACATTCAACATTGTATTTTAAAGATTTGTCTATTTGTGTCATCATTTACCCTGTTTCAGCATGTATTTCCTACTATTTGATTTTCTTCTCTGCTAGTTTCATTTTCCTGCTTCTAAAAGTTGTTCGATTGTTGATTATTATTAACTAGTCCACGAGTTAGAGTTTAGCTCTTAGAATTCTATGGTGAATCTGTAAATGTATAAGTTGGGATGAAAGAAATGAGACTCTAGAACTGATGCAGTATAAATATATTTAAGAACTGAAAAACAATGATATCGTTAAACATTGTCATGCCGACACAAGGCTACTGCTTGTGTGCACTTGACAAGGCTGACAAATAACATTTTAATAATAACTACATAATAATATCGGGTCTTCAAAAAAAAAAACCAATCGAAGATTGCTTTGACTACGAAAACGTACGTCGCATTACTGTTTCTTTATTCGTCAGGATTTTTGACAGGACATTTTGACATTAAATTTCATTGACAAAATTAAAGACAAATATTGCTAAGACATACGTTTAAAAAAACCATAGCAATCTTTGATTGGTTTTTTTTTTGAAGACCCGATATAAGTCTACAAGACAACACTTATTCTAATATCACACTTCTTCCCTCCTATAAAGTTTTTTCGGTGGCTTGACAACTCGACCATGGGCCTTATTCTGTAAGGAACAACCGTTCGATTCGGTAGAATTTCTTCGATTGTGACGTCATTTTCGGTTTAGTTTTTGCTCGTTTTCGCGCTACCAAACCTAAAATGACGTCACAATCGAAAAAAATTCTACCGAATCGAACGCTTCGTTCCTTACAGAATAAGGCCCCATACCTTGTCTTAGGAAGCGTAGTATGCTCTATATATCTTCTTTTCTGTTACACAATGTTTTGGCATATTATGCTTATTGACGTCATGCTCCGGTCTATGCAAGGTTTGCTCTGTTCCATTAATGTCTCAGGAACAACATCTAGATTAGAAGAACCAGACTGATTACATTTTTCACTATTATTATTAATATCAAGTAGGAATGTTAGGATTAAATTTATTTTGTGATACCTTCAAATCAATTCTTTTACGTCGAACAACGTGTCCATTGTTGTCCCCTACCAAGTAATACCTTGGTGATTCATGCTCTGACAACACTTGACCAGATTCCCACTTTCTTTGAACATGATTAAAAACGGTTACATCTCTTTCAGGGCTTAAAGGTTTCAAATCTTTAGCACCTCTGTTGTAACACGTCTTATGGATATTTTGTCTTTGTTGTAATTTTACATCCATATTCTCACACGATTGAGGATTTAACATATCAGAGTTAATCGGTAATTTAGTCTTACATATTCTGCTCCTCATGAGTATTTGTGAAGGTGAATACCCTATATACTTCAGTGGAGAATTTCGATACTCTAAGAGAGCAGTCTCAATCTCACCACCTGCCTCTAAACATTTTTTAATTATGCTTTTTACTCTACACACCCCTTTTTCAGCCAATCCGTTTGAACGAGGATAGTTAGGGCTACGCGTTTTAACATCAAAATATCACTCAGTTGCAAAGGCTTTTAAATTCGTAACTGTTGAAAGGGATGTTATCACAAATAACCTTATCTGGAGAGCCATGAGTAGAAAATATTGTTTTCCTACGAGCGTGCGCAAAGTAGTACTTTTCCGCACGCATTTCCGGGCTCAAAGTTACACTTTTCCGCACTCAGTGCGGATACAGGCCTTATCCGCACTGAGTGCCGAAAAGTAATTATAATTGTCAAGCAACAATAAGTGCACCTGTCGACTTTGACACATGATGACAAATTTTTCCTCTGTTTCTATATCAGCCAACATCTATACAAACACTAAATATGAATTAACTTTGACACATTGTCAGATTTGTTCTCTATTTACATGCAAAAATCTACAAACTTTCTCATCAAATTTAAACGCTTTAAGATGAACAGCTCTGACGAGGATTTTCTGTTATTTTTTTTTTGTTATTAATTTTTTGATAAATGCATAGGTTCCTTTTAAGTTAATTAAAAATAATTAAACAAATTATCGTTTTTTTTTTTAAATTTTGTTATTACCTACCTGATATGAAGCTCGTAGGAAAAATTTTGTTCCTAACACGTGCGCAAGTGTCTTTTCCGCACGCAAACACGTATCCGAACTCCGCTTCGCGTCGTTCGTATAACTGTGCTTGCGTGCGGAAAAGTCACACTTTGCGCACTTGTTAGGAAAATAACTATTTCAGCACTGAAATTAAGGCCTTTGCTGACTTATCTTTAATGGTAGGTAACTCTAACCAATTTTAATATGAATCATACACAACTAAATAGCTTTGATGACCATCTATGTATATAAACGTGAATTTCACTCACTCACTCACTGACTGACTGACTGACTGACTGATTAAACACGAAATCTCGAAAACTACTTAACCAATCGAGATGAAATTTTGCAAACAGGTAGGTAATAGGTTGGAGATGCTCACTAAGAAATAATAGCAACATGGCCTTAAGCAATCGCCTTAAATAACCAAAAATAAGAAACAGTGTGGTGCGGGAGTGCGGGAAAAAAAGTGTAAACAGAAACAGACGACGTGTCAGCTGTCAAATTCAGAAATATGACAAGCAGAATCAAATTCATAGCGATTTCCATTTGCAGAATCAGCGCAAAAAAAAATGTGTTTTTATATTTATATTTTCATGCTTTCACCAGAAACGATTCGGAATCGATTCTGAACAAATTCCACCGGTCCCAGGCTAAGCTAACTTCAAGTTTGAGACATGACATTCGCAATTCGTTCACGTATTCGACAGTCTGGAGCAAGGTTCTGGAGTTTTTGTTCGGTTCCAAAACTGTTCGCGATAAAATAGGAACCTGAACCCATTCACAAGTTGGGTTCGGGTTGCTCACTCCGATTTACTCCGATCGCACTCCAGTCGTTATCTGATAAGCTAAAAGGTAATACCCAAACGGCTAAAGTGCGAATGGAATCACTCGGAGTGCACAGAGTGAGCAAGCCGAACCCAGCTATAACTGGGCATGCGCTCTACGATAGTCCTCAATTAGTTTCGGACTGGTTCGGAATCGGTTCAAAATATGATCCGCGAACAAAGCTATTAGCAGCGAATGGCACTTCAAAAAAATTTAACGTCAGCTGTCAAAAAATAGTCTTCATATTCTGCAGCCACAAAGCAGAACAAAAAATGTGGTTTACAGAGAGATGCTGCAAAAATAAGAGTTACATGACCATATGTCTAACGCAACTATTCCCTTAGCTCTTTGAAAGAAGATTACCTAATGCTACCTACACCCTACACCTACAAAATTTGTATAGGGCGTGCGAAGCCGCGGGCAACAGCTAGTACGTAAATATATTTAAACCAATTCTTTGCCAAGGCCGTTCTGGAATAGGGCAAGGTAGCAATGTTTTTTTCTGCTGTTTTTTCGAATTTGCCTCACAAATCTTACAGGTTTTTATGAAATTTTCGATTTTTTGACTGATTCCAGGCAAATAGAACAGTTTACGTGCCCTCATTTTTGCCTTTTCTATTCCAAAATGACCTTCATGCGATAACGAAAGCATTTCTTTGCGCATTTTGAATGGAACTACAACTTTATTGGAATTAAACAAAATATCGTCACAAACACAGAGATTGTCTTTTATTTGAAAATATTTTTTGATATTTGCTAGGATTTTTCCCTTCCCATGACATGACTAGCCTTGAATCATTATCATCCTTAACAGCATTCCTTAATTGTGATTTCCGTTGTTCTGACATTGGAAGATATTTAGTTATTAAGTGTACCACATATTCAAATTCTCCATCTGATTTAAGGCCTGTTTCACATAAAAAAGCACGGGACAATGCGTCAGCAATATATAAATATTTTACTGGCTTATAAGACACAGTTAAATTATAATTAAGCAAACGTAAACGCATCCTTTGCAACCTCGGAGTTATTGATAATAGATCTTTACGGAAAATAGCCTCAAGAGGCTTATGATCAGTATTTACTTTGACATCAAGGCCGTAGATGAAGAAATGAAATTGCTGGATACTAAAAACAATAGCCAGCATTTCCTTCTCTATCTGCGGGTACTTTTGTTCTGTCACACTCAAACTTCTAGAAGCAAATGCCACAGGATGAACATCTTGGAGTAAGCATGCTCCCAAGCCATCTTTTGAGGCATCTATTCTGGTCAAAAAATGTCAAAATCAGGGCTGAAGTCAG